AGCTAATATAGTACAAGGAGTTAAGCCTGGTCAACACACTAGCTAATATAGTACAAGGAGTTAAGCCTGGTCAACTCACTAGCTAATATAGTACAAGGAGTTAAGCCTGGTCAACACACTAGCTAATATAGTACAAGGAGTTAAGCCTGGTCAACTCACTAGCTAATATAGTACAAGGAGTTAAGCCTGGTCAACACACTAGCTAATATAGTACAAGGAGTTAAGCCTGGTCAACACACTAGCTAATATAGTACAAGGAGTTAAGCCTGGTCAACACACTAGCTAATATAGTACAAGGAGTTAAGCCTGGTCAACTCACGTATTCGCCATCAACAAGTTTTAAATGCTCCCCCTCCCCCCAATCCCCTGGAAATTTACAGAAACAGAACCGCCCATAACATTTTCTTGTTTAATTCGCATATGGCATATATGTTTGAATTTATGCATTACTTTATTTAGAATTAAACCCCTGAAAAATCAATGAGATTAAAAGGATGAACTAGTTATGTTGTGTGCTCTTGATTGTTCAAGGAAACATAATGTTTTTGCGGGCTGTCACCAATGTCATTTGAAAAAAAAACAAAACAAAAAAAACTTTCTCACTTTGAATAAAACTTTGTTTATCCGTGCCATGCACATTTGTTTAGTTTACCCCCTTTGAAATGTAAACATATTTACAACTTAACAACTGCTTGTTAATCTCATATGATTTTTTTTCAGGAAATAACGAGATGGAAATATAATATATATTATATATATATATATATACATATATATGTATATTATATATATATATATATATATATATATATACATATGTAGGTCCATTGATTATAAATACAGTTGTAATGATGACTGGTATATTTGAGATTTAATATATTTAATAAATTATTATCCAGATGAGCGGGATTTGTAGATGTGTACACATAGGAGAATTTTTTTCTAACAGACGGACAACATTTTGTTAGCTGCTTTGTGCACGGCCGAGCTTCTTAACTCTCTCTTATTTCCATACTTAAATATGAGCTGGAGGGCATACAAAGTCTTAGCAAATTATTAAAGATAGGGGAATTCGACAGGTGTGATGATCGACATATTTTAAAATGCATTTTTACACAATCTTTTTTTTAGCCAGGAAACAAAATAAAGATCTAGAAACGAAGAAATGGTAAAGAAAAAAAAACAAACAACGAATGAACATTTTTTTTCAAATTTCTAGGACAATCGATTATTTTTTCAAAGTCAACAATTAAATGAAAATTCCATTATTGAATACCTCATTCTTTCAGAATCTCTGCCATCATCATATCTTCCCTCAAGTGTGGACGTATACGATTTGAGCGTGTGTGCGAGAGAGCCACGCAGTATGTAAGAGAAGGTCCGAAACAAAATAAAAGCAGTTATAAAACAACAACAACAACAACAAAAAACCTCACCAACAATGACGTTACATGTGAACCAATGAGACGCTTCGTAACATCGCCTTCAGAAAGGAATCCATTCAATATATGAGGACACCGATCAAATAGTATTCAGAGAAGATTTAGGGCATTGGAATTAAAGGTTATAATCCTTCTCTACAGTCAGTGTTCTTAATACCTTCCTTTTTTCTCTAGGTAGAGCCGTTTTTGAATAGTGGTGTTAATTTGATCTATTGTGAATGTCTGGAATATTTTTTAAACAGTTTTATTTATGCTCAAGTTTATTTTTTCATTCATTACAAAAAGTCTGGATTATTGTCTTGCACACTGACATGAAGCTACTGTGCTGATTGTACCATTGAGCTGGTGTGCTGATTGTATCACGGGACTGCTGGGCTGATTGAAATCATTGAGCTAATGTGCTGATTACATCACTGAGCTGCTGTGCTGATTGTATCACTGAGCTGCTGTGCTGATTGTATCATTGAGCTAATGTGCTGATTGCATCATTGAGCTGCTATGCTGATTGTATCATTGAGCTGCTATGCTGATTGTATCATTGAGCTATTGTGCTGATTGCATCTTTGATCTAATGTGCAGATTCTATTATTTGATCTGTTAAGATTTGATATAAACTGCAGCTTTTGAGTAAGTCGTTGGTAATATTTTAAAATATTTTTTTTTCTTTCTCACCCCAAGAGGGCTATTGCCCTCCATCACCCCAAGAGGGCTATTGCCCTCTATCACCCCAAGAGGGCTATTGCCCTCCATCACCCCAAGAGGGCTATTGCCCTCCATCACCCCAAGAGGGCTATTGCCCTCCAGCGGGTTAGTTAGTTTAGTTATATGTAATCGATCTTGCATGTCGATAGATTCAATGGCCGATTAGATCAGTGGTTCTCAACCTTCCTAATACAGCGACCCCTTAATACAGTTTCTTATGTTGTGGTGACCGCCAACCATAAAATTATTTTCGTTCCTACTCCATAACTGTTGAATACATGAGTTTTCCAATGGTCTTAGGCGACCCCTGGGGAAAGGGGGCGCGACCCACAGGGTGAGAACCACTGGATTAGATAAACATGCCACCGCCTCCAGCCCCTGCGACAGGCGGCCTTAATTAGATATCTTCCCATGAGATGTAGCGCTGAAACGTCAATCAGAATAATGACTTTATGACACCCTGTTTAACCATGTTTGAGGCTGTTGTTATTAGTAGTCCCCAAAAATAGCACAGTACAGGGATTTTTCCACTTTTAAAATATTTTTCAATAACCACTTGAATGAAACAAAGATTTTTGTGTGTTCGATATTACGGAACTAAACAGGTGTTTAAATATCTACCCCCGTGATGTTTAGTCAATTTTTTTATGACGATAAAATATGAATTTGATTCTTGTCATTAAAAAAAAATAATAAATTAAATCTAACTCTTAAAATCAATGAATTATTCCTATCAAAGTGATTTAAGCGTTTACAATACAAAACTGAAAGTTAATTAGAAAACCTTCGCAGTTCTTAAAAAAAAAAAAAAAAAAAACTTATACCCGAGCACCTTTGGTAACTTAAAGAATTACACATTAAAAAAAAATCTATTAAAATCTAACGTCATTTCAGTGAATCAGTTTGATTTACACCTGTACGCTCTAGATCAGAGGTTCTCAATATTTCTAGTGCCGCGACCCTTTAATGCAGTTCCTCATGCTATTGTGACTCCCAAGACCCCCCACCAAAAAAATCAGTTTCTTTGCTACTTAATAAATATGTGTTTTCAGATGGTCTCAGGCGACACCTGTGTAAGGGTCGTTCGACCCCCCCCCAAGGGGTCGCGACCCACAGGTTGAGAACCGCTGCTCTAGATGAATCAGTGATTGCGGAGTTCAACAGCTTGTAGTATATGATATTTAGCAAGCGCATCACAGATCGCGGTTAGTTTTAGCTTTGAAGAAGTTCTCATATCTTGCGGCAACGGTTGAAAAACTTAACTACATCTTGAAAATTTCTTCATGGACACCAGAGTAAAGTTAGTTTGTTTCTTGATACCTGTGGGACTGCAAATATCAAAACTGTACGGTAAGTGATTATTTTTTAATATATACTAGGTTCGGGAACCCGGTGTTGCCCGGTCATTACTCAAAGGCTTTGTATTACAACAGTATACAATTTAATTTCAACCACTGCGTGCGATTTTTGTCTCTTCGGTTGTCTTATTGATTGACATCCCAGAACAGTGGGCGGCGAATTCATTAGTCAAAAGGGCCAAAAATCAGCAGTAGGGAAATATAAAAAAAAATTGAGAGCCACATTTCATTTCAAAAACCTGTAAAGAAGCATGTTTTTTTCGGAGTCGAAACCGATTTGCGGCTGACTGGCCGAGCCGCACACAGGTCGTTAAGGAGCCGCATTCGGCTCTCGAGCCCACGCTTCGCTGACCACTGGCCTAGAAGTACACAAAATGAATCTTCAGCAGTCCTGACACTTCGCTGTTGTCTCCAAACGACTTATCCCATATAGAGGCAGACAAGAGAAGACGTGATTCACTTCACACAAACAAAAAAAAAACACCCACGAAAATATTACGTCATACGTAATCTAACTGGCTAGTGAGGTTAATTAAGATATTGTGTTCACTAATATCTTCTGCATAACACTCTGGGAAGAATATATGGACCAACATGAAGTCCCCTTGCTTTAGGTATACAGATAAGATCCATCGTTGTTTAGATACTACTTTATCAGCACTGTAACATATAACATGATTTGTACCCCCGTTTTTTATGATATGGATATTAAAAAAATGGTTACAGGAAATTTGATCGAAAGAAACTCGTCGACGGTAAATTGATCGACGGTAATTTGATCGAACGGAAATTTGATCGAATCGTTTTTTCAACTCACACGTTGAAATTGTCGTCAAATTTCTTTTTGAACGCCCTATACAATAAAGTAAAACAAAAAAAAATGTGTTCAAAAAGAAATTTAAAGCAAAATTTTAACATAAAACCTGAAAAAACGATTCGATCGAATTTCCGTTCGATCAAATTATCGTCGATCAATTTACCGTCGACGAAATTTCTTTCGATCAAATTTCCGGATACGAAAAAAAAAATATTCCGATAATGTAATCCCATTCAAATTCTAAACGTTAATTTATCAATCATCTTTTTTTGACCCATTGTTCAATTGAACGCTATTTTTTTCTAATGCTTAACTCACAGCTTCAGCTTATCCAAGTGTTTGCTCTTTGCCAAGAAACATTGGTAAATGCAGTGACCATTCATGGAAGTATTACTACGCACCTCAGATAGGAAAGTGTTTTAGATTTGCGTATAAAGGCTGCGGGCCAACAATTGCCAATAGATTCGACACATTGCGAGAGTGCCTTCTTGCTTGCAAGTTTTCTGTAAAGCTCAGTAAGTCTTGCTAAAGTATTCCTTCAAAATTTTCCGAACCCTCCCCCCCCCCACTAAAATCTAAAAGACATGTAAGTTTAACATACTGAATTACTGAATGTTCAAAAATTGAACGATAGACGGTGCTCTCCTGCATCAAATTCTATAGTCACCAATTCAATTGTTTGAAATGAAAATCCATTTGCCATGACCTTGTCTAAAATCATTAACTTTTTAAGAAGAGGAAAAACAAAGTTAAATTCAATTTTTTTTAAGGTTTTCGTTGAAGTAAAATGAAATAGATTTTTGAGGAAATACTAGTTAATTAAACTCCGTTTAGTAAAAACGTTAATGATAGAAAAAATCGAAAAGAATAATTCTATTCGCCCTTTAGGACAGTTCATCTGGCCGAAGGAGAGGAGCTTCTTTTGCCCCTGTTAAGGCAGAAAACATATAATCCTCCATCTTGAATAGTACAAGTACAAGCAGACGTTACCCTGGACGTGGTAACGTTGACTTCATTAGGGGACAGGAGCGTCAATCACTTCTTTTTTTTCTCTTTGTTATTGGTTAGCTGCATGCGTCTTACCAGTCGAGAGTGCGTTAAATGAAAGCATAATTTGTCTTGGAGAGTATATTTATGTGTGGAAATGACGTTTAACACCTAATATTGCGTTAAAGATTGCATCCCGAGTCTAAAAAACCGATTCAAAGAACAAAAAATTGATTAAACCTTATGGTTACTGAGCATTGAGCTCACTGACACTTGACAACTGAAAATTTAATGACACATGTAATCACTTCACAAATTCAAATTTCCTGGACTTGAATCAAAGAAGAAACTTACTCTTCAATCATATAGTTGATTCTAGCATTTTAATTTCAATCCATCTATATTAACCAAATGATTTTAAATTGTTTATTATATCTAGATATCGGCAATTCAGCTCAAAATTTCAAACCCATCTACCATGCAGACAAAAGCAAACTGTTAAAGAAAGGTTGCCTTAGTTTTCACATTGAATCAAAATGATCTTTCCATCGATCATAGAAGAGACATATAAATATATATATATATATATATATATACATAAGATTTTAACATTTGTCATAAGGCTTTTCTCATAATAGTACGAAGAGGGTTTTGTCTTCTTCAAAATTTATTGTTTTAAAAAAAAAAAAAATGTCAAATTTAGTTGGCTAATTCCCATTCCTACCAAAAACTTTTCGCATCTGGTCGTGTCTTAACGCATTTTTTTTCAATGCGCAGAGAACCTGGTTCCCCTCTGCTACCAGAGTGAGCCCTTGAGTGCCGTGGGCGGAGACATCGTCATCAAGTACTTCTACTCACATGAGCACAAAACGTGTTTCTGGTTTCTGTTCCCCGGCAGCGGAGAAAAAGCCGGCAACTGTTTCGATTCGTTTGAAGACTGCATGGCTTTTTGCCACCTCAAGGACGAGTGAAGTGCTGCCGTGATGCTGATCTCGTCCGAAAACAGATTATCTGTGAAGCCCCCCTACAGCGATGAACGCGCCACAACCAACAGACTGTACGACAATTGTATGGTTCCTCTGACGCCCCAAAGCAGCGAGTGCGGACATTTCAGTTAAAGTTCGTTTTTTTTTTTGGAATGAAAACAGTCAACGCCTAAAACTTAACAAAGATTATAAATAAAATTCAATGCAAAATAATTCCCTAAAGCGTTACTATTAACTTTTTGAAGAAAAAAAATATTGTGATAAGACTTTAATGTGTTGTTATGTATTTTCTTGGGTCTAGCATCCATAGAATCCCCCTGAATGTGGACATAACATTAAAAATTAAAAAAAAAAAAAAAAAAAAAAAGCTCTCACTTGTATTTATTTTAGAAGTTTCATTCAGACGATCGAGCATTGCTGAGCTATTTGCGAAGGAATGAATCGAATAAACGAAATTGATCGGCAGATTTGGAATGTTTTGCCCACACACAAAATTTCTTTCCCAGCGGATGATGTTTAAAGTGACAAAATGTATAGCTTTCCTCATTTTAAATGCTGGTGATTTTTTGTTTCTCGTTATTTATTGATTTTTGTATCAATAGTAGGGAGAAAGATTTTTGTATCAATAGTAGGGAGAAAGATTTTTGTGTTAATAGTAGGGAGAAAGATTTTTGAATCAATAGTAGGGAGAACGATTTTTGTATCAATAGTAGGGAGAAAGATTTTTGTATCAATAGTAGGGAGAAAGATTTTTGTATCAATAGTAGGGAGAAAGATTTTTGTCATTACAATACATTTGAAAAATCTGAATTAACAATCTAAAAGGGGGTGAAAAATACTAAATTCCACCGACCAGTCTGGATGCCCCCCCTCTTCCACACAAGCTGACCCTAGGTGGACTACACTTTTGGTACCACCACCCACATCACAAATCTGACAAATTCTTCCCCAACGCTCTTAAACAACAGCCATCGACGATATAATTTTTTTTTTTAATATAGCTATTCTAAAGTGTAATCGGTATGTACACTATTTGATGTTTTCTTGCCCACCGTCTGTGACAGAAAGCAGTGAGTAGCATTTCGTGAAGAACATCGGTGTCTGAACAAGAGACTTAATAGCAAATCTGTTAAACAATGCTGCAAGGTACGTACTCTCCATTACGTTCTGGTTATATACCCAACAAGAGTACGCTGACAAATTTCGGAAATAAATAAAATGACGCTCGAAGAGAAATGAAATTTTTTATAACGGCCAAATTTAGTGTAGAATTCCAGTGAAGCCATTTCAATTTAATATATATATATATATATATATATATATATTAT